GGGCTGCGAACCACAAGGTCAGCAGTTCGAAACTACCAGCTGTTCCGCAGGAGAAAGATGAGGCTTTCTGCTCCCGTAAAGATTTACAGCCTCAAAAAACCTGTACAGGGTCACTATGGGTTGGAACCGACTCGACAGCACTTAACAACAATATACAAAATAGGAGTCCTGGTACTGTGGGTTAATGCACTGGACTGCAAGGTTGCTTTGAACCACAAGGTTAGCTGTTCAAGCTTACCAGCCGCTTCTCAGAAACCCTATACAGGGTTCGCTATGAGTCGGAACGGACTCAGTGGCACTTAACAAGAACAACATAAACAAAATAAGAAAAGGCAAATGTATAGAGACGAAAATTTATTATGGTTACAGGGGGAGGAAGGCAAAAAAGGGAGGTTAACGGGTTGCACAGCTATTATAATTGCTGTTAATAAGTTGAACCTTTAAAAAGCTGAATCAGCAAAAGGTGTGTGATAGATACACTTACAACAATGCTAAGGGGGAAAAAGTACCTGCTGAGGCTGCTTATATACAATCAAAACATCTCATGGAATTTAGCTCCTTTATTTGGAGGTTTAGAGTCCTGATTTCAAGGGGCATCCCAAGGGACTGATCTAATAACGTGTTTAGTGCTTCTGTTCTGCCTCCTACTTTGTTGTGTAGTGCCAGGGGTCTTAAAAGCTTGCAAGAGGTCATTCAAGGCACAGCAATCGGTCTTTATTCACTTGGAGCAATAGAGGAAAGAGAGTCAGGAATAGGAATAGGAGGATATGAAACTTGTGGTTAATTGCCTCCATGAATAACTGCCTCCTTTGCAGAAGGACCAGAAGTACTGGATGGTGCCTGACTATCATTACTGAACATTTCAAATATTCCACAGAAAAATCCTATTTAAATTAAAGGGGAGGGAGGGGGTACAAAACAGAACTTAAAATTCTTATGGCCTTCTGACTTTCTAGAGCCAAGGAGTAGATAGACCACTGAGAGAATCTTTAAACCCCAAATAAAAAAACCCAAAAACCTTAAACCTAAATAATTATTTAACTTAACTAGTTAAAAAAAGTCTTTGAGCATTATGGTCTTTTAGAACTATCTATATGGGATCCAACTGACAACAGCAACTCAAAACATGACAGGACTCTTAATGGAGAACTACTCAGATGAGAAGGAAAAGTATGGTTGCACAACTTGGGGAATGTAATCAATGTCACTCATTTGTGCATATTGTTGTTGTTAAGTGCTGTTGAGTCGTTTTCGACTCATAGTGACCCTGTGTAGGGTTTCCAGGGAATGGCTGGTGACACTGAACCATTGACCTTATAGTCCAGTGCATTAATCCACAGTACCACACAGGAACTGTTTGTGTTTTACTGAGTGTGAACGATGTTTACAGTGGAATATCACGTAACAATCACAAGCAGCCATGCTCTACTTTTATTTGTATCCCTATAGGTAAAAGGAGTCCTAATGTGGCTCTGTGGGTCAATGTGCTGGGCTGCAAGGTCACTTTGAACCGCAAGGTCAGCAGTTCAAGCTCACCAGCCACTCCTTGGAAACTCTATACAGGGTTGCTCTGGGTTGGAACCAACTTGACGACACTTAACAGCAACAACAGGCAAAAAGTAAAATACATAACTTCAAGACAAGTTCACTCTTCAGGCCTGAAACTGAAGTTATTTCCATGGCTCAACTTTCAGCCAAACAAAAGACAGGTTTACAGGTGAACAATAATACCATGGAGGTATGCGCTCCTTAGAACAATCAACCACACGAGATGAAAATGGCAGCCTCTGCCCTGGAATAGGTAGGAAAGGAATAGAAATGAAAATGGCAAACACAGGGAGGGAAAGTGGGAAGACAGCTGCAAACAATGTCATGAATTATTGAATGGAAAACCTACTTGCACTACAAAGCTTCACTCAAATTAGAATAAAAAGTTTTGAAAAATAAAGACAAGTTCAAAAAAAGGAGGTTTACAGCTTAGTATCATTTATGTAAAATTGTTTTTAAAACCTCACAGACAATGTATTTTTTCATGGATGCCATTTATATAGCTAAGCATGGAGCAAAAGGCCTGAGAAGGCCTGTATGCCTGAGTGGACACCTACTGGTGGCTGGGGTGGGGAGGAGGAATGGCACCAGAAAAAGGAGGGTAGGTCCAGCAAAGCAGGGCCTTACACAAACCAAGGTCCATTGGAGACCAGGAAATTAGAAGAGCCAAAGTCTCTTCTTTGGGTACCCTTGATGTTCAGAAAGTCTTGGGAGGAAGCATCCCAGAGTCACAACTAGCATAGTTTAAAACCTGGCTGGAAGAGGAGGAAACTTACAGGCCTTAAGTCTCTGACAAAAACAAAAGTGAAACTAATCAGACCTCTCAGCCTTGAAAGAAATAGAAAGTTAACACCCACTCCCAGTCCCTGTCAAGTCCCTTGGGAAATTTCCTGTAATCAGTTTAGTGTTGTGGATTTAAGGTGTGTGTCGTGTCAATGTGGGTTAATGCGCCAGACTGCAAAGCATTTGAACCATAGGTTGGCGGTTCAAGCTCACCAGCTGCTCCTTGGAAACCCTATACAGGGTCGCAATGGGTTGGAATCGACCCGACGGCACTTAACAACTCTGGAAGCCATGAATTTAATACTGCTTTATGCCTTGTCTCACGGAGTGCTTGTGGTGTAGTGAGATATGCCTTGGGCTAACCACAAGGTCAGCAGTTCAAATCCACCAGCAACTCTACAATAGAAAGATGAGGCTTTCTGCTTCTGTAAAGATCTGCAGCCTTAGAAACCCTACACTGGGTCACCGTGATTAAGAATTGACTCGGTAGTACATAACAACAACATGATGTCTCTGTTCTGTCAAGGACCTTTTGATTTATATGAAGGGACTTCAAAAAGTTCAAGGAAAAATTTCATTATCTCCTCATCCCATTTTTCCATGAACTTTCTGAAATCTCCTATTACATTTCCCCATGTATGTCATTCAATCCACCAGACTGGAATATAGACAATTTGGTTTGCTCACCACCCCATCACCTCTGGGTCCCAGAGGAAAAGATCATCTTGAGGCTGGGAGAGGCTGGTATCTCTCACTGCACTGGAGCCTAAGTTCCCCAGGCCCAGGAGCTGCCCTGACATGGGAAAATCAGGTGGGACTAAGAGGGATGGGCTCTGGTGATATCTATACCAACAGGACATTCAGCCTCCCTCGTCGGCTATCAGGCCTCCCAGAATGTGAAGGCTGGAAAGTAGCCAAGGTGTGTGGTCACAGTTTAACTCCCAGGTATGACAAATCTAAGGTGGGGAACTCCTAAAGTCAGGCTTTGGAATTCAGAGCTTCTGGGCTAGCTAGGCCAAAGCTGGCGAAGAGCTATTCCCAGTCACATCCAATAGGCTGGCCCAAAAAGAGAACTAGTAGTGTCCCCGTGGCCAAAATCCTGGGGCTTTCAATGGCCATGATGAGTCCAGTGTCTCTGAGCCAAGTGCATCCAAAGCAACTCACACACATCATTTTAGGCATTTTCTCTCTATTATCGTAATCATTAGAGTCTTACAACAGAAATAAAATTGCTGCTTAAACCACTTGATACAGCTCTTATGAGGAGGGGTGCTGAGTTCAAGAAAAGAGATCAAAATTCAAAACTGGAATTTTGTAGAAACGACTGCATTGCTCTTCTAATCAAGTTTTATGACAACATTCCTATACCAGAGTAGACAAAAACCAAGGAGAAAAATAAACAATTTAGTTCTCTATTTAACTGCCGAGAAATGATGTTGCCAACTACACACTCTCAGGACACTCTCTTATCACCTCCCCCATGCAAGGGTGGGGAGCAGGAGGTGGCTGAAGAAGCAACACGAACACCCTCTGACCCTCTTCGGAGTCTGTAGGCCCAAAGCTAGAAAATTATTCAAAACAAAACCAAACTCACCACCAAGTCATTTCCAACTCATAGTAACCTTGTCTATACAGTTTCCAAGGCTGTAAAAATCTTTCTTTCGCAGAGAGGCTGATCTTGCTGTTAGCAATCAAGTGTTTATCCTACCACCAGAAAATTAAACTTCCTCTTAAGGAGCCCCGGTGGCACAGTGGGTTAAGCATTGGGCTGCGAACCACAAGGTCCTAACAGCAGCAGCAGCTCCTAGAGAGAAAGATGAGGTTGTCTGCTCCAGGAAAGAGTTCGCCTTAGAAACTCTAGAGAGCCGCAGTTCTACTGTCCGATAGGTACACTGGGAGTCGGAATCCACTGGATGATAGTGGGTTTACTTGTTTCTTTTAAATAAACGAACAGGGCAGATGCCTCTCCAGTTGCCTGCTACTCAGAATGAAGACACACAACTGGAGTGGAGGGCAAGTGCAACGTCAGCCTCAAGGCAGATACCATCTTAAGAGACTGACAGGGGCAAAACTACACTACTGTCCGTTTGCAATTCAAGCACCCATCCCCTCCAGAGTGCATGTGTGACTTAGCCTTGGAGTGGACAGAGGGATGTGGTTAACAGGAGGGGCTGACCCTGCAGGTATGGGTTTGGGGCAGGAAACCTTACCTGGCCCTCACACCCCACGGGTATATATGTAGTTGAGTTGGGGAAGACAGCAGTCAAGTCTGCACTGGGCCGTGTGGGAGCTCCCTACACCTGTTCCTGGATCTAAATGTCTGCTGGGTGGTAAGTAGGCGAGTGACAGGTAGGCGAGCTGTGTGTTCCAGGGAGCTGCACTCCAGCTCCGGCGCCAGGTCCCCACAATCCGGCCAGGGAGACTGTCAGGCTGTGCTGAGATAGCCTCTGCCCTGGGGTTACAAATCATGTTGTGCCAGCTGTTATGAGATAGATGCTCCGGGGTGGACTGGGATAGTGGAGCACCTCCCCGGCCCGCGGGAAATGGTGTCAAGAGCCCCAGGGCTCAGAAAGGGTAGGGAAGAAGTCAGACACTCCGGAATTGGTCTCGGGTCCTCTGGACTTGTGCAGAAGGCAGCAACTCCCTCCACCCAGGCTCTGCGGCGTACCTGGTCGCCGGCACCGAGGGCGCGGTAGCCGTGCGTCACCACTTCCCAGTGCAGGAAGCAGATGAGCGCGTCCTGCGCGCAGGTGATAGCTGGCGCCGCCGAAGCGAACAGCACCTCCAGGCCCGCCATGGAGGCCAGCAGCTTCTGGGAACGGAGAAGAGAAGGTCGAGAGTGAAGTGTGAAGGCGCGGCCCTGTGAGTACGGACGACTGCGCTGCGCTGCTCCGCTCACTCTGGCCGTGTCTACACCTGAGCCCAAAATGGAGCTGCCCTGAGGAGGGGCGGAGCCTCCGGAAGTAGCTCCAAGCCAGAGTGCACTTGCGCCGGCGCGCACACGGCTAGAAACGAGGGCGCTACGCTTAAGGTTCCGCTGGCGACCTCGTGCTGGCGGGCAACTGGGGGCACAGCCCTTCAAAGTTGCAATCGTTAGCTTCGTCGAAGCGGACATGATCCACAAGATGGGGATCCTCTACAAAGAGCCACAGACTCCCAACCGCCGTATAAAGAAACTGTAAGTCTTTATAGGAGCAGACAGACTCATCTTTTTTTTCCGCAAGGAGGCTGGTAGGTTTGAACCACCAAACTTGTTAGCAAACAAATGCTTAACCCACTTGCCACATGGGCTCCTTAAAAGGGGATGAAAGGCCAAATCAAATCCATTGCCATCAAATTGATTCTGGCTCATAGTGGTTGTTGTTGTTGTTGTTGTTGTTAAGTACCCTGGAGTCGGTTCTGACTCATAGTGATCCTGCACAGGGTTTCTGAGGCTATAAATCTTTACGGGAGCAGAAAGCCTCATCTTTCTCCCGCGGAACAGCTGGTAGTTACGACCTGCTGACTTTGAGGTTAGCAGCCCGATTTTTAACCACTACACTACCAGAGCTCCTTTCATAGTGGTTGTTGTTGTTAAGTGCCATCGAGTCGGTTCCGACCCATAGCGGCCCTGTACAGGGTTTCCGAGGGTGTAAATCTTTACGGGAGTAGAAATGCAAGGTCAGCAGTTCCGAAACTACTAGCTGTTCCGCGGGAGAAAGAAGAGGCTTTCTGCTCCCCGTAAAGATTTACAGCCTTGGAAACCATCCCTTTGAGTCGGTTCCAACTTCACAGCACATAACCACCACCACCACCTGTTACCTTCAAGCTGATTCCTACTCATGGCAACCCTACAGGTTACAAACTAGAACTTCTCCACAGAGTTTTCTTTACAGACGCAGACTATCAGAACTTTGTGTCATAGCAGCACTGAGTGGATTTGAACCGCCAACATTTCAGTGGGTTGTTGTGTTACTGCTGTTAAGTGTCATTAAGGAGCTCTGGTAGCGTAGTGGTTACGAATCGGGCTGCAAACCTTAAGGTCAACAGTTCGAAACTACCAGCCATTCCGCGGGAGAAAGGAGGCTTTCTGCTCCCAAAAAGATTTACAGCCTCGGAAACCCTGTACAGGGTTGCTATGGGTCAGAACCGACTTGATGGCACTTAACAACTTAACAACCAGTTGTGGTGGCTTGCATGTTGCTGTGATTCTGGAAGCTATGCCATGGGTATTTCAAATACCAGCATGGTCACTCACGGTGGACAGTTTTCAGCTGAGCTTTCAGATGAAGACAGACTAGGAAGAAGTAGAGATAAACTACTGCCAAATATTTTGTCACTGAAAACCTTAATGAATAGCAGTGGAACACTGTCAGCACCAGAATACTGAATATTGAAACATGACAAAGAGCACCAGAATATTGTCAGATATAGTGCCTGAAGATGAACCCCTCTGCTTGGAAGGCATTCAAAATACAACTGGGGTGATAATGTGACCAGAACCATCAAGGGAGAAAAGACGAGCAGAATGTGAGACCTTATCCAGAGAATCAGTGACACCAGAGATGAGGACATGGAGAGAAGGAGCAGACTCATGGAAAGAGAAAGGCTGTGTGTTAGCAGCCAAGACGCAAGCTTTTAGAATGTGCTCTGTGATAGTTTAAATGATTATATATTTCTGAGCATTTTTGTGTACATCCCCCACCCCAAACAAAACAAAAACAGGGAATAGAAGCAAATACTGTTGGGCTATGTTGCACGGAGGAGATTGTAATCATTGCAATGAAACAATGAGTGTAAAACCGATGTTCTCCAGTGTAAACTATCACTCAATTCACAATAAAAACTTTTAAAAGAAGAAGACAAGAAAGAAAGATAAAACCAAAATGGGTGTCAGAATAGACTCTGAAACTTGCTTTCCAGCATAAAAATACTCAAGCAAATAAATGGAAGAAATGAGATAAAAGAGCTGAATAGAAAATTTCAAAGGGCATCAAAGTCAAATATTATAATGAAATGTGCAAAGACCTGGAGTTAGAAAACCAAAAGAGAAGAACACACTCAGCATTTCTGAAGCTGAGGGAAATGAAAAAATTCAAGCCTCAACTTGAACTACTGAAGAATTCTATGGGCAAAATATTGAATGATACAGAAACCATCAAAAGAAGATGGAATACACAGAATCACTGTACCAACAAGAAATAGTCCATGTTCAACCATTTCAGGAGGGAGCGTATGCTTGACAGTCAGTGATACTGAAGAAAGAAGTCCAAGGTGCATTGATGGCACTGGCAAAGAACAAGGCACCAGGAATTGATGGAATACAATTTAAAATCTTTTAACACACTGATTAAACTCATGGCACTCACTCATCTATGCCAAGAACTTTGGAAGACAACTACCTGGCCAACTAACTAGAAGAGATTCATATTTGTGTCCATTCCAAGGAGAGGTAACCCAAACAGAATGCAGAAATCATCCAGCAGTGTCATTAATATCGCATACAAGTAAAATTTTGCTATAATAATACAAAAATGGCTGCAACCATACATTGACAGAGGTTCAAGCTGGAACCAGAAGAGGACATGAAATGAGGGATATCATTATTGATGCCAGATCTTGGCTGAAAGCAATACGTGCCAGAAAGATGTTTGCCTGTGCTTTATTGACTACACAAAGGCTTTCTGTTGTGTGGATCATGACAAGCTATGGACAACATTGCAAAGAATGAGTATTCCAGAATACTTAATTGTGTTCATGAGGAACCTGTACAGAGGTCAAAAGACAGTTGCTTGAACAGAACAAGGGAAACTGAATCGTTTAAAATTAAGAAAGGTGTGGGCTAGAGTTGTATTCTTTCATCATACTTATTCAATCTGTATGCTGAACAAATAATCCAAGAAAATGGATTATATGAAGAAAAACATGACATCAGGATTGAAGGAAGACTCATTAACAACCTGCAATATGCAGATGATACATCCTTGCTTGGTGAAAACGAAGAGGACTTTAAATACCTACTGATGAAGATCAAAGACCACAGCCTTTGTTATGGGTTGTACCTCAATGTAAAGAAAACAAAAATCCTCACCACTGGACCTATAAATAACATTCACGTAAACTGAGAAAAAAATTAAAGTTGTCAAAGACTTCATTTTGCTTGAATCAAACATTCATGGAAACAGCAGTCAAGATATCAAATGACGTATTGCATTGGACAGATTTCTGCACAAGACCTCTGTAAAGTGTTGAAGAACAAAGATGTCAGTTTGAGGACTAAGGTGTGCCTGAACAAATCATGGTATTTTCAATAACCTCATATCCATGTGAAAGTTGGACAGTGAATAACGAAGACCTAGAAGAATTGATGCATTTGAGTTATGGTGTTGGAGGAGAATATTAAAAGTACCATGGACTGCCAAAAGAACAAACCAATCTGTGTTGGACGAAGTGCAGCCAGAATGTTTCTTGAAAGTCAGGATGGCCAGACTTCATCTCTCATACTTCAGACATATTATCAGCAGGGACCAGTTCATGGAGAAGAATATCATGTTTGGTAAAGTGAAGGGTTGGAGAAGAAGAGGAGGACCCCCAACAAGATGATTGGCATAGTGGCAGCAGCAATGGGCTCAAACATAGGTTGGTGCAGGACTGTACAGTGTTTCATTCTGTTGTGCATAGTGTCACTATGAGTTGGTACCAACTTGATGGCACCTAACAACAACAACAACAAGATCCTAAAGAACAATTTTGTTGACTGCAACAAAACCCACCACCAGCTGCTCCTATGGAAAAAGATGAGTTGTCTGGTCCTATAAAGATTTATAGTCTTGGAATCCCTATCTAGGGTCACTATGGATCTGAATTGACTGGGTGGCAGTGAGTTTAGTTGGTTTCTTCCCTTCATCTACCAGACTCTGCAGAAATACTCTCTGACCACCTCATTGAAAATATCAAGTAGAGACTTGTTTCCTTTTCTACAAAGTTATCAATCATAACTGGACACTATTAGGTATTCAGTGAGTTGCTTATTTATTTAGTGGCTGTCTTCCCACCAGACTGTGGTAAGATAGACCGTGTGTATCTTGCTCAACAGCTGTTTTTGAGGGTCTTCTGGGCTCAATATTTAGGTACTGAATTAAGGAATAATGATCGACCGAATCCTTAGCCAAATCAGGCCCATGTGACCCCTTCACACTTAGCTAGCCCTGCGCCTTTCCAAATTTTACATTCCTGAGGTTATCTAGGGGTTCCTAGAATAATAATCTAGATTATTCTAGCCAATCAGTTCTCAGGTGGGGTGCAGGTGTGTGGAACCCCCCTCTGGTATGTACTGCGGGAGGTATAAAGCTGTTTTCCCTTTCTACCAAGAAGCCCCTCACTTTCAGGCTTTCCTGTTTCTGCACTGTCCCTAGTGCCTTCAGTGCCCTGGTTAACACAGATTCCCACAGATTTCACGTAGTCAGTCATTCAGCCAATCTCCAGAAGCTGGGTTACCTTGGACAGTGGTACAGGCTGTATACTGCACAAAGAGAGACACCGCTTTCCTGAGTGCTTACTGTGAACCAAACCCAGATCCCTGACCCTATGGAATTCACAGTCTAATGGCAAAAGAAACAAAACAAAAACCCATATCCAGTTGAGTTCTCAAAGGTCTGTGCAAGCAGCCCAGAGGAAATATGTTATTTCTGGTGGTGGGTAGGCTTTTTGGAGAAAGAGATGCCTGACTTCCTTGAACCTTTGGCATAACAAGCAAACAAAAAAAAGGGAACTATGGTTAGTTTTAGTACTGCTTTTATGTGTTTTCTAGACAGTGTT